GTGCAGGGTGAAGGTGCAACATGAACAATAACAGTGAGGATAGTGAGATTGTGAGCAAAGAGAAAACATGTAAATGTAACGTATACTGTCCATAGAGGGAGCAGGGGGAGTAAGTTGGGGTCCTGTGCATTGTTTATGAGGCCGGTGGCAAATGGAAAAAAGCTGTTCTTGTGGCAGGAGGTTCTGGTCCTGATGCTCCTGCCAGAGGGGAGTGATTGGAAGAGTTTGTGTCCAGGGTGGGATGGGTCGGCCACAATCTTACCTGCATGCCTCAGAGTCCTGGAGGCGTGCAGGTCCTGGAGAAAGTGTCTGCAGTGTTTTAAGGTGCTTGTAGCAGCTGTGTAGTTTAGTCTAAAACAGTTAACAGTGCTGATATGGGGCTTAGAGGGTGTATGGGTGTGTTGTGGCCATGTTAGTGGGAGAGAGCACAGTACATTTATGATCTTGACGGTATATGGAGAAAAAGTTGTTCAGAATCCTGCTGCAGCGGGCACAGATGCTTCTGTTCCTCCTACCTCAAGACAGGAGGGAAAACGGACAGTGAGATGGTAGATGAGGGCTGACACTCCTACTTTAAATCAAATAACATATTCATTGAAATGGCCCATGCAGTCATCCTCCCGTTGCAATGGAAGGGGTATTGGGGAAAGCTGTGTGGTAAAAAAACAGCAACATCATGGGATTGGGGAAGATCCAAGGGGGAAGGATGAGAAAATGATGAGGACAATGGGGGTGTCATGCAGGGAAAACCTGTGTCTGAAAATGCAATAAGACAGTAAAAAAAAGGGGGGGATGGAGGTTTTAATCCCCTCTGTCATCAGGGATGACTATTCACCAGAGATTTAATTATCACAGGCCTAATGAGTGATTATAAAACATCACCAGTGGTTTGCTAACGAGGTCACACACACAAACACACACACACACACACACACGCGCGCGCGCTGTGTGACAGTTCGAGGGTGGAAAATGCATTCACACATACACAAGTGGACATATGGACACAATGTTTTCATAAAAGGCTGCATTATTTAAATAATAAGTGTGTGTTTGTGTGTCCATTTTTAGGAGAAGTTCACTCAGGTGGACGTTCTAATTCTGATGACAGCTGCTGTGTGTCATGACCTCGACCACCCCGGCTTCAACAACACGTAAGACACAGAAAACCTCCACACAGAAATACAGCAGCACATTGTATCTGTTGTGTTCTTTCCTCTCTTTCTTTTTCAAATCTCCTTTTCCACTCATTACTTTCTTTTTCACACCATTTCCTCCAGTTCGTCCTTTCTTTCATCCATCCTGGGAATCTTACTCTGTCTCTTCTTTCCGTCACGATATCTTTCTGTCTTTCTGTTTCTCTCTCCATTTTTGTGTTGTCATCGTTCCACTTCCTCCCCATCTCCATTGCCTCCTTCCCGTCCTATCTCCTCATGTCCTTCCCTGTGCTGCCTCCGTGACCCGACTCTGGATAAACAGAAGAAAATGTATGTATGGATAATTCTTGCCTTGCTGTCTCTCTCTGTCTCTCTCTTTCAGGTACCAGATCAATGCCAGAACGGAGCTGGCAGTTCGCTACAATGACATCTCCCCTCTAGAGAACCACCACTGTGCTGTTGCCTTCCAGATCTTCTCTCAGCCTGACTGCAACATCTTCTCCAGCTTCGACCCTGAGGCCTTCAAACAGATACGACAGGTAGTGCTGTGTGTGTGTGTGTGTGTGTGTGTGTGTGTGTGTGTGTGTGTGTGTGTATTTATTACTTCAAAGGGCTGAGCGATAACTACAAGTCATTTGCATACTGAGGACTTGCGATCATACCAGTCCAGTCTTTTGTCCACATTGGTGAATTTCTGAGCAAATTGTACATTAAAACAAAAAAAAACTGATGAGCCTTTTAAATTCTTGTTTTATTCTCGTGTTTGTTGAAAGTTTTCTGATGTATTGTGTAATATTTAAACACATAACTACATAATTATTGAATGTGGCTTTCCATTTTCTTAACATACTGTGTACTGATGTTGAAAATATATTAAAATGATAATGATTCTCACGATATCCCCCAGCCCTTTCACAAGTATGGTTTCATTACAGTAAATGTCTGTTGGCTTCTATCATTGATTTACTGCCTGTTAATATCAAATTTATTAAACTCTGAAACTTCATCTCATCATTGAAACTGAAATTTCACAGCTGTGCAGTTTAATCTTTTTAAAATCCAATGTTTTCAAACATACCAAATATGACTGTAATACTTTTGCATTATTTCTTGGCATTGATGCAGTTGAGAGAGACAGGGGATGGAGATGGTACATGATCTGCACATACATAGCCCTTTTCTAACTTGGCAGTATTCAAACAAGAGGATTGAAGATTGACACTTATAAGTCACCCTCAGTCTGGGCAAATTTTATTCTCAAAAATGTTCCCAGTGAGTCAAATGAAGAAGTCCTGCTGTTGGAAATCAGCAAAGACATTTAACACTGTCATGATGAGTTGTTAGAGGAACAATACAGTTCGAACATTTTAATACTACATCTGTAGATGTGCAATCAAAAACTGGATAGATGGGACGACTTGACGAATAAAATTAAATGCTGTCAAATGGAAGATATTTTTGGCAAGAGAAGGGTTTAACATGATTTACCGTGAGGTTAGATGCCATATAACAAAACATGATCAAAAACATCATGTCTATCAACAACGTGAGTACTCAGCAGTCATGAGTACATTATCATATGAGAACGAGTACTAGGTGCTTACAGGTCAGACCACACCCATCCTTAAACTCAGCCTTAAGTTGATCTCAAATAGACATGTAAAGTTTGGTGATTGTACCTGTCACAGTTGTGACACTATCTTGTCCACAGATAGATAAACACCTGGCAAAAGACTCCAAGCTACCTTTGTGTTAGCGACGCTACAGCTGGAGATGGACCATCACAAATTGGATACATCAACAAATAAAAATAAATGCTGCCAAATAGAAAGATTTTTTAAAAGGGAAGGGTTTAACATAATTTATCATGGTTAGATGTCAAATGAATCAATGCGGTTCCTGATGTGTGTGAGAGGTGGTCATATGTCAGTTGTAGAGATATTCTACAAAATATTGTAATAGTCCACAGAAGGTTGTATAGAATTAGCATACAAGGCCAGATAACTTTCTTAGAAGCTAATAAACTTAACAAGTTCAGTAATTAAGAAACTATCTTGCAATGGGGTCAATATAAAGAGATGATTCAGTTCTGTGCTTACCCTCCCAAGAAGTTTCTGCCCAAACAAGATAACTCTAAATGCACAAATCAAAATGTTCAGCATGGTGAAACAGTGTCAGAGTAACAGCTAAAGGCTTAACGGGATCATTGGGGCTGATTAACCCTAGGTATGGTTACCTTAGTATGTTAAGCACTGTGTGATGACATATGATGTAAACTGATACAATACAAATAAAATTGAATTGAATTGAATTAACACTGTTCATAAGTCTACCTTGCCATAACAAGGTAGTTTGGAATTTTTGGGCACGAACACACAACATGACCTATAGCATAAAAACAACACCGCATACAGGGATGAAAACATCTACTCAAAGGTGAAGCAAGGCAGTGTCATAATTTGGGGATGTCTTGCTACCTCACCAAGGAGAAAGTGAATTCCCAAGTTTTATCAATGAATCTTCCAGGATAATGTCAGGGAGGCTGCCCAGCTGAAGCTCAGCAGCAGTTGAGTGGTGTAGCCAGACCCTGACCCTGAACACTTTACAGAATGACTTCAAACCATGAAAGTCTACCTTTCCAAGATGCCTAGTCAGAGCCCAGACCTTAGCCCAACAGAGATGCCATGAAGTGACCTAAAGTGAGCAATTCACAGCAGACATCTTAAAAATGTGGCTGTGCTGAAGCTGGTGTGTATGAAAGAATGGTCCTTTTTTCTGAACAATTTGCAGGTCTGATCAGCAGCTACAGGAAATACTTATTTGAGGTTGCTAGTGCAAAGTAGGTTCTGGCGGCTAACTTTTAAGTGTCACAGGCCACTTTCTCATGGGTGCACTTTACTAGCTAAACTCCCACAATGCTCTCTGCTTGCCAACACGGGATAGCTGAGAGCCCAAGTGACCACCTCCGCAGGTTGCTACACAGTTAAAGAGTAAGAGGCTTGTCCTGGTGGAACAACCAGGTACTACACCTAGTTTACAATAGATTTTCTGACATGTATGTATGAGTTCTGCTTTATCTGTTTACATATTTCAGTTGGTTAAATTATTACTGATAACAATCAATTAATCATTAGTCATTTCTATCCTTAGTTCACATACCTTTTCGTGCCGTTTAACTCATACTACATCCACAGAAAATCCAGGGAACTACAACTTTGAAAACTGTCCAAATTTCTCAGGTTCTGTGTTTGTGTGTACTGATGGGCTATTTTACCTTGTGTGCCATTTATCAGGGAACCATCACACTGATCCTAGCCACAGATATGGCACGACATGGTGAGATCCTGGACTCCTTCAAGCAGAAAGTTGACAACTTTGACTACACAGATGAGGAGCATATCACCTGTGTAAGGCCCTTTCATTCACAAAAAAGTCTTGGGATTCCGTTACACCCTCTCAAATAAACTTCTGAGTGCTGAACTTTTACGTGTAACTTGTTGGTAATCTTATGGGAACAATCTTGTTTGAGCCATGTGGTTAAAAACAGGCAAACATCCTCTCATCATACCAGTTTACCACCTGCACAAGCAAAGATATTACAGTAGCAAATGCTTGTTGCATTTACTAGTGACACAGTAACCCTGTGTTGGTGATGAACTTTGTTCTCTGCCTTTGTGCAGCTGAAGATGGTGCTTATCAAGTGCTGTGACATCTCTAACGAGGTGCGGCCCATGGAAGTGGCTGAGCCCTGGGTCGACTGCCTTCTGGAAGAGTACTTCATGCAGGTACTAACCAACAGATCCAGTAGAGACATGTACTCTACCTTCATTTACTTAAGTGAAAGGGCAAAATTTAAAGAAAATATGTGAAAGGCAATTATTGGCTTCTGATATCAGAAAGCGCAGAGTGTAATATTGTGATTGTGCTGCTTAGAGCGACAGGGAGAAGACTGAAGGGCTTCCTGTGGCGCCGTTCATGGACAGAGAAAAGGTCACCAAGCCGACAGCCCAGATTGGCTTCATCAAATTCGTCCTAATCCCCATGTTTGAGACTGTGATGAAGGTAAGCATGCAGAGCAGTGATGACACAAGTTGATTTCAGAGGAATCCCCTTACAGTGTGATGTAGCTACCTGCACTTTATAATTCATGTTCCTGGGTGGACAGTGGACCTTTAGGACAGTAAAGCTGCTTTCCAGGATGCTGTCAGTGTCAGATCTGCTGTGTTTGGGCATGTGGCAAACAAAGCAAAAATTGGATAAATAAAACTTGGTTTTTGGTTCCTCCTGCAGGTTGCAGAGCTTCCAAAACTGCTTGCAGACTTCTGTGAGGAGACACGTGTTTGTTGCTTTTCATAACATGTACAAAGCTTGTTAGTTTGTGAGGAACTTTATCATCTAAGACAGGGGTATTCAATTAAAAGTCACTGAGGTCCAGCCACTAAAATTTCCTCCAAGTAAAAGGTCCGAACCAAAGTCCAGTTTTTGTCTTATAGCCTTCCACCATGGCCACATTTTCATGGTTTCAACAATATTTATTGTCAATTTTCAATGCAGAATATGTTTAACTGAATGCAAAGCTAGCTGTTTTACCATATATATAAGTCGCCCCAGGAAACTAAATTTAAGGCCTTTATTTCAGATTAAAGAAAACAAAAACCTCAGCTTAAAATACATTTTCAAAAGTGCAAACAGAGCCAAACAACATGTGTATCTCTTAAATTAAAGAGGTCCCAGCCTAAAGAACTGAAGGCCTCCACTTCAAGTAAAAAAGTCAACATCCTCAGAAAACTGAATAAAAGGTTTCATTTGCACGTTGCTGGGCTGTAATGGTGCATGATGAGTCAGACAGACCTGTCATACAGGGCTTGCAGCTCGGTTATTTTGCGTGCCCTCAGCTCGGACTTCAGGGGATAACTTTGCTCAAAAGAGCTGTGCTTTGTTTCATAGTGGCGCTTCACTTCTGACTAATGCCACGTTTTTGGGGCATATGAGGCACATTGGTTTAGAACTGTCTGGCGGAGGAATGACAATTCATTTCTCCGTTCACTCACCGTCCACGGAGCTGCTGCTTCTGCAGGGTAAGCAAACGACTTGATTGGCTGGACTGAGTGGAGCTATTGCCGTATTAACTGGAGTAGCAGCGCCTGCTGTCTATAGCTGCAACCGTCAGAAAAAATCCATCCATCCATCCATCCATCCATCAATCCATCCATACATACATTGTCTTCCGCTTTGGTATGGGTCGCGGGGGCAGCAGGCGGAGCAGGTCGTCCCAGATCTCCCTCCCCCTGGCGACGCTTTCCAGCTCTGCCTGGGGGATCCCGAGGCGTTCCCAGGCCAGCTGAGAGATATAATCTCTCCAGCGGGTCCTGAGTCTGCCCCGGGGTCTCCTCCCAGGTGGACGAATTCGGAAAACCTCCAGAGGAAGCCTCCCCGGAGGCATCCGAACCAGATGTCAGAAAAAATGCTCTATGAAAATCTGTTCTTGTGAGATTGGTCATGGGTCCGGGCAGAACCATTACTCGGTCCGGATCCAGACTTAGGTCTTCCATTTGGTGATGCCTGATCTAGGCTTGACAAATAATGGATTTCCAGGAAGGGGCCAGCCCCTGCATTAGGAAGTGGTTTGAAAGTACATGATATACTCTCACTGAAACATACTTTTGAATGCCAGAGTCTTCCTTCTCGTGGAGTATTGTTACATTTGCATACTGCTATACAGAGCCTCTAAAACCTTCCACAACTGATCAACAAAGGTAGTGTTAATTACTAGTTAGTCCCACAAAGCAATATGTTGATGTGATGTAAACATAACATTTGTTCAACTCTACAGCTGTAAGGGACTGAAATACAGAGCTCACTGTTACACACTGTTGCACTGTTTGTGTTGTTGTGACTGTAACTGTGTGAAGTCAACAAAGAAGAGTTTGCAGCAACAACACTGACACTCAAACCTTGTGTTTGTGCACCAGCTGTTCCCACAGATTGAGGAGGCAATGGTGCAGCCACTCAGAGAGTCAAGAGACCGATATGAAGAACTGAAACAGATTGATGATGCCATGAATGAGGTTGGGGGATTTCTATAAGTGCGTGGATGCATTTAATTTGTCCTTGGTGCAGATTGTTACTGATAAAAAGTACTGTTCCTCTCAGGTGCAGAAAAAGAAAAGCGAGAACTTGACCATGGGAGGGAAGAAGAAGTAAAAAGTTTTGAAAAGGTAGAAACAAAACAAAAGTTGTTGCCATCAGTGTGAAGCCAGGTTTCAAATCAGAGACCCTACATAAACAATTTTCTTTATGAATCTATGTGTTTCAGCACCAGTGAGCATAGAGCACAAGAGTGAAGCAGTGTGACGTTAACTGGGATTGTCAGATACGTTGGTCTGTTTGGCCTGTAAAACCTTTTCCATCTCTGTCCTCTCCTCACTTTGGCCTAATGCAAAGCGGACCAGCAAGACGAGTGTTCTGGGAAAATCAGGTAGATTTCCTGTGTGTCACAGGAACACGAGGGAGTGTGTTTGAGACAGCGTTACACACTGCTATAGACTCAAGTGAGCAGACGGACAATCCAAGGTTATTTTCAGGGAATGTCAGCATTTGTACAGCACACACTCTTTAAGTGAACAATATTTAGGTACATATTTTGTTTTTTTATTTGAAATGTGCTGGGGTTTTTTTGTTTTATTTTTTTTTACAGATTGTACAGATTTTTAGTGACTTTTGTTCTTTCCTACAAAAATAAAAAGATTTAATTAATTACAAAGTCCCGTCTGGCCTGTGAATGTCTCTGCTTTTCATTGCTAAACAAAGTCATGACTTCAAATACTTTTCATTTCTGATCTGATCTTCAAAATTCACACTATTTCTATTCATACAGATATACTGTATGTAAAGTATAGAATTTTCTGCATAATTATGACCATTTTAAAAGTGAGAAACTGCCTTAAAGCCCTACAATCTGTATGTGATAGTTATTTGCAATTTTATATAACAATACAGTCATGGAAAAAAATGAGTAGACCACCATTGTTTCCTTGTTTTTCCACTTTGATCCAGACTGAAAATTTTAGATTGTAGTACAATAGGTGACAATGGTCCCCTGAGTCTAACCTGCAATACCTTTGGTGATCTTCTGACTTTTCATTTAGAAACATTATCAGACCAAACTTTGTCCACCACTAAAAACTGCAAAAATAATGGCATTAGCCTCAGCTGTACTTGTGGTTAGTGCTAATTAGCAAATATTACCAAATGTCAGCATTGTCCCAGGTGACTAAGGATTGGTTTTGTTTCCCTCCCACTGTCGCAACAGTGGGAGGGAAACTTTGAATTGCTGGGTCCTCTGTTCTCTGTTTAAAATGCATAAGATCTTTACAACGTAAAGTGCTATAAAATGACATACAGTCATGGAAAAAATGACTAGACCACCTTGTTTTCTTCAATTCCTTGTTCATTTTAATGCCTGGTACCACTAAAGGTACATTTGTTTGGACAAATATAATGACAACAAAAATAGCTCATAAGAGTTAAGTGCTGGTATCTAGAAATGTTCCAGGGTTTTCTTGATAATAATCAAAATCCCGTCAGTTCTTACATCAGTAGCTATGGCATTGTACTGCCATAAACAGTGCTTTTAGGCATTCCATGTTTTCTTTTGTGTCTGTTTTAGTCACATGATACACAGGAGTTAGTACTTGATTGCATAACCATTGTTTCTGATGACTGCAGCCATGTGTCTTGGCTGCTCTCCACCAGCTTCAGACATTGTTCTGCTGTCACAGCAGCCCATTCCTGTTGCACTAATTCAAACTAATGCGCTTTGTTTTTGAGCTTGTGCTTCTCCATTTTGCATTTGATGATTTTCCACGGGTTTTCTATGGGATTTAGATGATGGAAGAAGACTGTTTTCCAGAGCAGCCTGAACATGACCTGGTTCATTCGCCCTTCACACATTTGCATTTGTCCTGTTCCACCCAAACTGAAACAAGCCCAGATGGTCACTGATCCACCCCTATGTTTTACTGTAGGGGAAAGACAGTCTGGTTTGTAGGCTTCTCCAGGCTTCCTCCTAACCAATAAGTTGGCTGGAGTGGGCATCAACTGAACATTGGATTCATCACTGAAGAGAACCTCAGCCCAACCACCAATCCTTGTGATCCCAGCAAAGACTAACCAGGTTTTTCCTGTGCCTTTCATTGATGAAGGGCTTCTTCTGTTCCCTGTGTGACTTCAGACCAGCTTCAAGAAGTCTGTTTCCAACTGTTGTTGCCCAACAAGTCACATTTCTTGACAGTGCCCACTCAGGTCCCTGGAGGTCTGATGACGATTCCTGACACAGAACGGATGAGTGCATGGTCATCTTGTGGGTAGAAAGATGCTTCCTGCTGTGACCAGCTAGCAATGTGGTAGTCATGTTGGGCTTGTTGTTTCTTGGTGTAATGAACAGTTGTCTTGGAGATCTTCAGTTTTTTGGCTACCTGTCTCTCACTCATGCCAATTTCCAGCAGTGCCAAGATGGCTGCCTTTGTGGTTTCACATAATTCTTGTGTTTTATGCATTATGTGACAGCTGACAACTTCTGAGTTGTGCTATGGCTTGAATATAAGCAGGAAACCACTTTAGGCCTTTGCATGCGCAGTGCTGCTGATGACATGACATGGCCTCTTATATACCCTACAGGGAATACAATGAAGCTTAAACATGTCAAATAGGACGTAAAGTATTATGTAATCACCTGCATTTTGTCATGTTCATTGTACTCTTCAGGTAATAAACTTTTAGTGGTACCAGGCATGAAAATGAACAAGAAATTGAAGAAAACAATGACTGTATAAAGCACAAAATGAGCTGACTTTAGAAGGACTTTAAAGCTGGACCCAGAAAATTTAGTGAGAAGGATTTATATTGTATTTTGTTGAGTTTTTTTTCTGATGACAGTATTGTGATTTTAATGTTTATCCTCAGAAACAGAAAATTGAACTGTTTTTCAACAAACCCTCTTCTGTCTAATCATTTTTTAATAACATTTGAATTTACAATAATGAACTATGGAGCACCGACCAAAGACTTCCATGACAGCACGCAACTATCCATCTATCCATTATCTATACACTTAATCTTAACTAAGGTCGCGGGGGGCTGGAGCTAAACAATAACTACATTTAAGGAAATGATTCCACTATTATTTACTTCAGTGCCAACACAACGGAGAGCAGCTCCTCCAGTCTTAGTCCCACACAGGTGGATAATCTTACTGATAGAACTGCAGCTTTACTGCGTTCATCAATTCATGCTGTTGCCCCATTGAAAAAGCAGCCTATAAATTATAATAAAATAGCTCCGTGGTATACTCAACAGCTGCACATCTTAAAACAGAAATCAAGAAGGCTGGAAAGACAGTGGCACTCTTCAAACTCAGAAGAATCGCAGTTAGCCTATAAAAAGCTGATCCACAAGACAAGAACTGCCTACTACTCATCCCTAATTAAGGAAAACAAGAACTCCAGGTTTCTTTTCAGCAATGTAGGCAGGCTGACAAAGAGTCACAGCTTTGTGGAGCCTTTCTTAAGCTCTCAGCGGTAAAGACTTTATGACATTCTTCACTGATAAAGTTTTGAATATTTGACAAAAAAATAAATAAACAAATATTTAAAAAAAAATCATTAACATGTCTTTAGGTGCAGCAGCTTTGGATGCATCCATAGGACCAGATTTATACTTGGACTGATTCTCTGCTGTAAATCTCTGAGTTCACGCCAATAGTAAATTCTTCTAAACCAGCAACATATCTGTTGGACCCAATCCCCACTAGACTGTTCAAGGAAATCTTTTCTCTTATAAATACTGTAGTATTAAATATCATCAATTTCTCTATATTAACAGGCTACATACCGCAGGCTTTTAAAGTAGCTACAATAAAACCACTGTTCAAAAAGCCTAATCTAGATCCAGGCGTTTTAGCAAACTATAGGCCCTTATCCAACCTCCCTTTTTTCCTAAAATTCCTGAAAAAGTTGTTTCAAGCCAATTGTGTGATTATCTACATAGAAATGGTTTGTTTGAAGAGTTTCAGTCAGGATTTAGAATGAATCATAGTACAGAGACAACAGTGGTGAAGGTCACTAATGATCTTCTTATAGCCTCAGACAGTGGTGTTATGGGGAGGTACTAAGGCTCATGCGCGAGGCAACATGACAAGGCAGACAGGCGGTTTAAACAATAAATAATTTATTGGTACACCCAGAGAAACCGATACAAAACTAAAGGAGATTGCTGGAAAAGCAACTATGTTTAAAAGGACAGAATAAAACAAAAACCAAAGGCACGGAAAC